TTTTTTAATGTTTGGCAACAATTTAAAATGCAACCAGTGAAATGTCTACTGAGTTCCTATTGATAATTTACGTAGAACATAGATTATGGTTTTTAGAATCTTCTACTACTTTGCAAACGTTTGCAAATTAGCGACTTGAAAACAACTTTTCAGTCAAAATTCAATTATTCAGTCAAATCACTTTGTCTTTTAATGGTAGTAATCTGTTATAAAAAAAAATAAATTATTATTATTCATTATGAATGCTAATTTAAAAATAGAGGAGAGAGATTCCTTAAATTGATTCATTTTAGAAATTAGTATTTAAAAAAAGGATTGTAGCCTGATTTGTTGCGCTAAAAACATTTTAAGAGGTAAAAAAAAGAATTGTAAAAAAGCTAACGATAGTAAAAAAAATGTAAAAATACAGCTAGTCGAGGAAAAATTTAGTCAAACAAAATAGAAGTGTTTCGTTGTGACACCAAGCATTATTTGAAGTGGATTTTTAGTTGGAAAATTAAAAAAAAAATTTCAGAAATTATTTTTGACGGATTAAAACAGAAAAAAATGAATAAAGAATTTCCACTTTTTTTTTTTTTTTTAAATCGGGCTTCTAGTTTATTTGCGTAAAAAAATTTACAAAGAGATAGAAAGAAGTTGGTGACGATTTTGTTTTATAGTATTTGTATAGGAGACCAATTAAAATCCACTTCTTCCCCCAATTATATAAATATATAAAATACTGAAAGAATTCCCCCCCCCATTTTTTTTTTTAAAAAAAAAAAAATAAAAAAAAATAGAAAAACAAAGGCAAAATGTATTTTGATCATAAACTATCGAGGGAATATTTTTTTCCAAGAAATCTTGAAAGGAGACGTTTTGCTGCCAGAGACATTTAAAAAAAAAAAGACATTTCACCCCAAGCAATTCTGGTTATTTGCCGGTATTTATAATAATTCCTCCAAAGTCTGGGGAATCAACTTGATCACAGGTCTGACAATGCAAAAAGACTTCAAAAGAGAAATGCTGACTGTGGGAAGGCATGATGCCACTTCTCCCTGTATATTTCTAGATTTTTTTAAATCGGTATCACTCCATGTAAGGCAATAAAGCCCCTAAGACACAAGGGGTTGCAGGATGGGGGAGAATTAGGAAAAAGAAACATTAATAATGAAGAGTAGTAAACAGGAGGCCATTAAACAGCGATTGACATTGCATTTAAATTTTTGAAGATTAAAGTTGGCTAGAAAGCATAGGGCTGGGAGGGAGCACCACAAGAGAGAAGTGCGAGAAAATAAACTGTTTGCATAGAACGTACAGCTACATTTAGCCAACTCAACTGCAAACTGAGGACTCAATGCCTAGGTACTATAGCGAAGAGCTTATCTGAACAATTACCATGAAAGTATTTATAGAAAAGACAAAAGTGGCAACTTTATGGCAGTAGGAAAGTGACTGAAGCCGAGCAGCCAGATAAGAACCAATAATATTGCTGATTCTTCTTTGGATTTTATCAAGGAGCTCAAGGTAAATAGCAGGGACAGTGGGCCATATGTGGCAGCAATAAATATCTTGACAAAACACCTCATAACCTGTATGCTTTGATAGTTTATGAAGAAAACAATAGCATTAAGAATTTGGCAGCATCAGACTTGACTGGTAGAGATCAGAAGACAGGTTCACATAAGCACACACAGACACCTCCTCCGTACATACACATACTCATATATATATATATATATATATATATATATATATATATATATATATATATATATATATATATATATATATGTCAGTAATAAAATTCTGTAGATTTAGGCAAATCATTATAGTAATTCAGTGAGTCTAGAAGAATCCTCAACAGAATACAGAAAGCACTCTATGGCCATTTCGTCCTCTTTTGGGACTCATCAGTAGTGTGCATCCACTACCGAAATTCGAACTTGTTCCATTTCGATACAACGCAAGCAACTGTACTAATGGGCCTTGGTGATGAAGAAGAAACTGAATAAAGTCGATATAGTGCTGGTACTCACAAATTGTGTGATGATACTCATCCAAGTATTCATAACCCAACGGATTGTGCCCCAAGAGCCACGACATTCCTTTCCTCCAAACCACTCCATCGCAGAGCATTAGCTGGGTCAAGCAAGGATATACAAGTAATAGAATTTTCGAGATTTAGGCAAATCATTATAGTAATTCAAGTCTAGAAGAAGCCTCGGCCGAATACAGAAAGCACTGGCCAACCATTTCATCCTATTTGGGGACGGATTCAAAGATTTGAATCCGTACTGTACCGTATATATATATATATATATATATATATATATATATATATATATATATATATTCAAGCATACTTGGTTGAATAATCTGGACATATTATGTCTATTTATTTATTTTTTTAATTGTAGGCTGAGCAATTAAAAAACATTAAAATTAAAAAATACAAATCAAGTTATCTCCCTTATATACTCTTAATGTTAATTTTTTTAAATTTTCTATAACTAAGTGCGTTTCATGCATATTTACAAAAAATTTTCACAACTATCAATTGGATTAATTTTTTTGTCTTAGCAGTTCACCCCTGAAGATAATCTTGAATGTGATTGAAAGTACTTGGGAAAATAAAAGAAATAACCCAAACTACAGTGTCTGTCTTAATCAGTTTTGTAACAGCACTAAGAAATTGATCCATGAATTTGACAGGTTTAAAATAAAAATAGACATAATATGCCTAGATTATTCAACCAAACATGTGTGAATGAAGATTTGCTGCCTAAATGTACATACATACATACATACATACATACATATATATATATTTAAGACATTTTTTATGTTTATATGTTCTTTTTATAGATACAAATATTTATGTAAATGCTCTGTTTATAATATTTGCATCTATAAAAAGAACGTATAAGCATAACAAATGTCTTAAATAATTGTCGGAATTTGTCCATTTCATAATGTGTGTGTGTATATATATATCTATATATATATATATATATATATATATATATACATATATATATATATAATATTAGTGGTAAATATACACATACATATGCACTCTTCTTCTGATCTTTAAGATTAGATCGTCTATTGTGTGTGTATCTCACCACAAAATGTACCCTTTCCGGTTACATCTTTAATGTATTAGACATCCGACAACATTCATATTTCTCTCACTTAAACCGTCTTTGACTCCCCTCTTTAAAACTTCTTTCTGTTAAATTTTAATCCCCCACCTTCTCTCGTCTGTTACCCCTCTCTTTAGCTCTAACATTCGTCCCACACTCTCATACTTACACTCTCTCTAAATTCTATTTTTTATTTCCGGAGTTGTTTTTTTTTGTTTTCTTTTTGAATTTGTAGGTCTGATGAATTGGATCGTATTTACGATTCCAATGAAATAAATTATGATCATGGAATATTAGTGTTTAAGCCTTTTTATTATATATACACACACACACATATATATATATATATATATATATTTGTGTATTTGGACATCCCCTCTTTAAAATACTTTTGTAGCAGTACAAAAGTTTATCAAAACATCAGAAACAAACATGTTAAATGAAGGAAATTATAAGATGGGGTAAGAAAGTAAATAATTGTACCATAAAATAGTAATATCAAAATTCCACACAATTGACAAAAAAACAGCTAAATTGGTTTATTGGTCGTTTTTCATCAGAGATAAGACTGAGGATTAAAATGTGCACACCAACTAAAATTTGAAAAGCTAAAGTCAAATATTATATAAAATAAAATATAGCACTTTAAACCCATCAACCACTCCTCTTTTGAAAGACATGGTTGGTAGGACTTAATCTAAAAATATTCCAACACTTTCAAATGAAACTCAGAATCAGCTTTGCTCAGTGCAGAGAACATCTCTTTGCTATATTATAAAATAAAATAAGACATATCTCGGCTGATTTACAGGCAAATAAACTAACATACTCAAGAGCGAGAGCCGGATGTGAACGGGACAAAGTCCTGTCACAAAATGACCATTATTTTCGTTTACACATGTTCCCGACGCATGAGTTCCGGTCGAAAAATAAAATAATATTTTAAAGTGTTTCTATTTTTCGATCAATAAAAATGCTTCCCTCCTAATTATACTCGCGTCGTTTTTCGAGCCTGTTAAGCCATAAAAAACGCCATAAAAGGGGTCACAGGGAAGTACAACAGGCAGTCAACAGGTGGCCACGGAAGAGACCTGTCACGGTTAGGCTGAGCGGTCAGCAGCAGTCAGCAGGGGGAGCGCCAGCGTCAACCTGTGTGAACTACTATGAGAGATCAACCTAGATTCGAAGCCGGCTTATGAACTATACCACAAGGTACCTGTCCCAAATCCTCACGTTCCTGTTGAAATAAATCACGTAAATCTATTTCTGCTGTTGTATTTCTTTCTTGCAACCATACGCTTGTCTATAATAGCTATAAGACCGGGCACATTGCTCATTTTTAATCAAGTGTTCAGCTATTGCTGAAACAGTTGTATTCACACAACTACGGATTGTCTACTTGCTCATATGAATTCCTATTTAATAGATATTTCATTGAGCAAAACTGGTAAAATATTTTATCTATATTTTTATTGTGTTTCCTTGTGTGCTTACAAGTGTTTTTTCTGGACGTAATGAGTGCAAAAATTGTCCAAAAGTTTGTTGATTTGGGGTTAAAGTATTAACCATTTTCAAGGGAAAAAATCATGAAACCTTGGAACTGGCTAATAGTTTAGCTGAAAGTGCTTGGAATCAACAAATGTCTGAACAAATGTTACAATCATTAAGTTTACAAAAAAAAAAAAAAATCAAAAAATAATGCATACAAGCAGAACAATGAAAAACTAAACAAAGTACCTTATCAGTCATATTTAGTGAAACATGTATAAAAGAGGAGTTGCTGTCCAAATACACTACTGGAATTTTGAAAAGACACAAAAATAAATAAAATTACATTTTCAAATTCCCCTAACAAAAACTAGCCAGATAGATTCAGATTGACATAGATAGATAGATATGAATAAACTGAGATAGATACATAGATAGTTTCAGATTGACATAGATAAATACATAAATAGATAGATAGATACTGAAATTAGATACATTCAGAATGACATAGATAGATAGATAGATGTAATATTCTTTTACAGTAATGCAGTAGAAAAGTGATACATTTAATCAAAAGAGTAATTTACAATTAAAATTCTTTGCTTGCTAAAAGAGAAAGAGAGAAACAATGAAAGTGCCTTTATAACAAATAGACACATTTTATATTTAGTGCTTTTCTTAAGATACTGTTTTTAAAGTTCTTTGAATGAAAATATCCAAGCTTTAAAGAGATAGCAATTTATTCTTCTTGATGTCTAAAGACAGACACGTAAAAACAGACTTGGTGAAAATCCACAAGGGCATTATCGTAAAGCATGAGTCTTCTCAACCAATGGGAACACTTGAAAAATTATTAAATTTTGCCTTTTGTTTATAGCCAATCTCTGATGTTCCAATAACTTGAACTGATTTTAAATGTGAATTAAGTTTAAGCATCTGAGAGATTGACTCAAGTAAGATAAAATACTTGCTTGAACACTCAGCTACAGAAAAAGAAACTTTCTAAGTGTGTTACTTCTATCCATAAAATACATACATTCATACAACCGTACATAAACTGAATGAAATACACTTTTATATGTAAATATATATTATGCTCATGCTCACACATCCATACCTACATGTACATTTGTTTCAAAAATGGGAGCTAAAAGCTACGAATCTAATTTTGTAATTAAATTAAAGACATTAGTTCCATTTCATCCTCATTGTTTTCTAGCTTTTCACTTTCATTTAATTGTTACCTGTGTTTTTTTTTATATATATAAAGGGTGTTCCAATAAATTGGACCGATTTTAAATGTGAATTAAGTTTAAGTGTCTGATGATTTATTTTTCTTTCAGATTTGGCAGACATTTGGGCAATAATATTTTTCACCCATAATTGCCATGACTTAAATAACATGATCCAATCTGGAAATAAATACATTTTCACCAATAACACTAATTTATTTACTGCTGACTTTGATCCGTCTTAATGAAACACTCTTATATATAATCCATCTTAATGAAACATCCTTTATAAGAACAGGCCAAAAGCCACACTTGATGACTCACAGCAAGCAAACACAGGAGCACACACCAGAGTACCCATAGCGAGCACACATAGCACATTCACTTATTCAAAACATGCCAAAGAAAGCCTTCTCATTTGGGCACTCCCACCATACAGAGAGATTGACAGAAGCAAGATAAAATACTTGCTTGAACACTCAGCTACAGAAAAAGAAACTTTCTAAGTGAGTTACTTCTATCCATAAAATACATACATTTATACAACCTTTTTCTCTTTTACTTCTCGGTTACAAATCCAACAACCACCATATTCCCCAAATCGCGGGCCTTGTGAGTTTTCCCTCTTAAAACATCATATCCCACTGGAAAGGGACAAGATTTCAAGATGTCAAGGACATCCAAGAGAATGTGACAAGGCAGCTGCTCGTTATCCCATAAAGCAGTCCCATCAATGGAAATGAGACTAGATAAAGTGCGTGGCTTCAGAAAGGGACTACTTTGAAGGAGATGAAATACCGAATTGATATGTGTTGTAGTTTTTATTTATACCACCAGTCCTGATACTTTTTGATCAGACTACGTATAACATGTGTGCTATTTTTGGTAACATTTATCAACTTTTTCTAGTTTAAAAGTTTAAAATCTTCTTTGTCAGCCACTTGCAAGTTTACATGATTTAAAATGACTTTAATATGATTAGTGACTTAATTGTTTGAAAGTAGACATATCTTTATGAAATTTCCTTTACGACTGTTTGTTTGTTGATCTTCAAACATTGTCTTGTATATAAATCACAGATTCATGTCTGAATGGAGATAATTGAATTTGAATTTTGTTGGCACATAGACAAGATGGGGGTCTTTAAGTTTCTATTCTTGCTTCACTGTCACTAAGTTATCTTCAACATTTAATTTGTGAGAATCGTTCCTCTGCAGGGAGGCCAGAAACAGATGTTACTGAGAATGACAGCAACTTCTAACAAGTTATATTTAATAGTCTCTAAGGAATGCTTTACAAGTGCAACTTTTACAACTCATATGCACTGTGGCTATCCCAATTCCTTGGCTTTAGTCTGAGTCTTTTAGTTGACTATCCACAGTACCAGTGCACTAGACTAATTTTTTTTCTAAATTACTATATGTTATGTTCATACCACTGGAGAACATCACAGATGTGGGAGAACAATTTCAGGATAATATATATATATATAATTAAAATCCATAATCCTAATAAATAGTTTAAATGCCCTACAATAAAAGATAACCCTTTATGAAGTCGTCAAAAAACAAATGTTAGCGATTTACGACAGTTTTTATATACACAAAACCCTTTCAGAAAAAAAAAAAATCTCCATAGACACTTAACCAGACTAGGCATTGTCATCTTCCGCTTTAAATTTAGACACCCCAACCCTACCCTGACTTGACATCTGTGAATGTAACTGAGATATTGATACAAATTATTAACACCTTATGCCCCTTTTTCTTTAAACAATTGCTCTAGCCGTTACCATAGAAATTTTGATTTCAATAATGAATATGCTTATAAAACACGTAAATTTCTGAAATAAGTTATTTCAAAAATATTTCGCTTGAAGATGGTACAGAGCTTAGTACTTTAATCCAATTTAATTCAAATAATTATATTGAAGTTTTCAGCTCTTGTTTTGAAACATGAGAACTCTTATGTAGCGTGTTGGAATCATATTTTAAATAAATAATTATATATATATATATTATCCATATTATGCTATTTCAGGATAATATATATATATATATATATATATATATATTATCCTGAAATTGTTCTCCCACATCTGCGATGTTCTCCAGTGGTACAAACATAACATATAGCAGTTTATATATATATATATATATATATATATATATCATTATTTTCATGGGGGTACAAAATTTTATTATGGAAATAAAAACAGCAAGACAAGCTTTACCATTCAGGATTAAAAGGAAAGAAAAAAAAAGAAGTTTGACCAGCCGACTGGTTTTGCCCTCACTCAACAGAGATGAAATCGAGGGAAAACTAAATATTGCAATATAAAATATAAGAATATGAGAAACATATGATAAAATAAAGGTGGAAAGATCAGGTGGAAATCACGACAAACCCTAACAGGCATTCCCTTGGTTTACAGAGGTAGGGCTGCCTGGACCTGACATAGATTATTTCCAATACCTTTAAGTGTAACACAGAATGAGCATGACTAAGCATGGAAACTGAGTCAATGCTGAAATTTGTGGCACAACTTGGATTGTTTATAAGGTGCTCAGCAATGGAAGAGCCATATGTGTTTCTGATCTTGTCACCAGATTGGAATGTACCATTCCTAATTCTTCCAGGTACATGCTAGTTAATCCGTGCATCTAAACGTAAGGTAGTTCTACCTATGTAGTCGGCTCTGCAACTACATCCAAAACAGTATATTACATTATAAATATGGTGGGGAGAGAACATCCTTCTGAGCAGACACCCAAGGAGACCTGGTAGAAAAAACAACACACACATTGGCAGAAAAATAGCAATTTTTAACCATTGAGTTGATTTGTTTGGTAAATTTACCAATTATTGAACCCAACCAGGACAAACGCAAATACACAGGGCATTCAGAAGCCATACTTGGTTTGGGTTTAGAAATCTTAAATCTTACTATATGTGAGAAAAGAGTATGATGACGCAATATACTCTGTCAAAAGTTTGGAAATGGCATGCTCTACTGCTTGATATTTGCACCAAAGGCTCCTATAGGACAATTTCAGCGTGTTTGAGTGTGAAGTTGAGGACAGTGCACAAGATTTGGAAAGAGTTAAATGAGTCTATTGGTATCTGTCTATATTTCTGAGATGAGGTATTATGTACACTATTTACATTATTTGGACTATTGCCCTCATCTTTGTTGCCATATTTATCACAATATTTAAGCCGTTGTATGTTCCAGACTTCTTCAAATGTTTGGAATGTTGAACCGAACCCTTTATTTCACTCACTGGGGTAGACTGTTCTAGTTCCACATGCCATGTCTTGAGGACACATGGCACAATGGATAAAGGCGTTGGTTAGATCCAGTGACAGGACCCAAAGAGTTGTGAGTTCAATACCTGGTTAAGGCAGTGGAGAATTTGGAGAGGTTATTAACAGGACATAATTGATAACTGACATCTATTAGGCATGGCACATGGAACTAGAACAGTCTAAATCAGTGAGTGAAATAATGGGTTCAGTTCAACATTTCAACCACTTGAAGAAGGCTGGAGCATACAATGGCCGAAACATTGTGATAATTATGGCAACAAAGATGAGAACAATAGTCCAAATAATGCAAATAGTGAGTCTATTGGAAATTACAAATTCTATATTTCAGATAGAATATATGTGTAAATAGACAATCTGAATAAAGACAAAAGGAAAACTTATCTTATATATGATAAAATATAGTTTTAAGGTATGCTATATTTAAGGGATAATGTGGGTAGTCTATTGTATTTCCATGTGGGTAGTCTATCATATTATTCTAACAGTTGATTTGGTGAGTGGTAATGGTTGTATTTTGGATTATTCTTGATGCTATTGAGTGGGAATAATTGTGGATTTGAATGCAGTTTTCAAAACACAACTGTTATTGTCAACAAAACAACCATTAAAATAATAATATAGACTACACACAATAGATTATCGACAATGTATCACTGATCTGTATATATTGATCGTTACGCAAAAACACAACCCATATGGCCTGATTATTGCATTTTGCATAAAATGTCCATATGCATATGGGAAAATTATATAATTTTTTTTTATATATCAAGAACAGTTTTAAGGAAGAAGTTATAAACACAAAAGGGATTATATATATATATATATATATATATATATATATATATATATATATATATATATATATATATGTGAACAATACATAAATGTTAAAAAATTAAATTTTTGACAGACTGAGTTATTATATCATTTTTGTTTTATTATTTAAATTATTTATATATATATATATATATATATATATATATATATATATATATATATATATATATATATATATATATATATATATACTTTGTGGCTATAATAAAAGCAGAATTAAACCAGAAATAGTACAAGAACAGTATGGCTTTGTCAAGGTCACTGGAATGAGAAAGGTTATATTTAGGATTAGAATGATATTTGAGAGAGCAATACAAATATAGAAGGATATATGTCTTATAGATTATATAAAAGCATTTGATAAGGTATGGCAGAATAATCTATTTGAACTGAGAAAGAATTTGACTGACTGGATCTTTCTCCTTACAAATGCAATATGAAGGGAATGATGATGAGTCAGCTCAGTGTATGTGGTCTTTCTGGTCCTACTTGTGAAGGTCAGGATTGATGGCCCCAAGGCCTGTATTTTTCCTAAACATCTGCCATGAAAAAGAGATAGAATGTCTGATGCTGAGATGTTAATAACATTTCATATTCTTTTTTTGATTCTATCAAGAATCTCTAAATATGAAGCAGAAGTACCAGACCAGATGTGGCAGCCATATTCTAAGCAAGGATGAATTGTAGACTCATAAACATATAAGATAGATTCTGCTGAGAAAAATTGTCTAGCATGGCACAGAGAACCAACTTTCCTAGCAACAGAATTAGCAATTCATTTAATCTTTCCCTTTCATTTAAGCGGACAACATTAGCAATTCATTTAGCAATCTTTCTCTTTCATTTAAGCGGACAACATTAGTTCAAGAAGGTGCAATGTCACTCTTCTGGAGCTTAGCATCAGCCATGCTGATAGAAGTTAAAAAGGGTTCTCTCAGATGGTTAAAAGATAGGAGATTTATGTTGGAGATGGTAAAATTAACAAGCCATTCCTTTCCCCAGTTAACAACAAAATGGAGATAATTTTTGCAACCATTTGCACATCTAGCCTTATCAAACGGCTCAGACTTACTCTTCAGTGAGGAATAAATGGTTGTGTCATCAGCATAGATACTGAGTTGAGAACTGATGCCATGAGGACAGTCATTGATGAAAATTAGAAACAACACAGGATAGAGCCCTGGGGGACACCTACATTAATGCAAAAAGATCTAGAAGAGTGGCCATTCAAGACAACTTTCATTTCACAATTCAATAAGAAAGACTGAATCAGTTCAAAAATTCATCCAGAAATAAGATAACCTTTCAACTTGTAAAGAAAACCAGCATGCCAATCCCCGTCAAATGTTCGAGATATACAAAGCAATAGGTTGAGCTTTATGATTCTTATCTAAAGCTTGACTCTTTCAGCAATAACCATTAACACATCACCAGCTGACCTAGAGAAATGAAAGCCATATTGCTTACCTGAAAGAAGAGCCAGTGAGGTGAGATGCTTAATCAATGCAGAGTTGATTAGAGCCTCTAGTATTAGAGAAAGAGTTGGTGAGACCAAAGCTCAACAGAAAGATTTGGTGAGATCTGGAGCTTAGCATCAAAAGAAAAATTTGATGAGATCAAAAGCTCAACAGAAAAAGAGTTGATGAAATCAAAGCTCAACAGAAAGAGTTGATGAGATCAAAGCTCCAAAGAAAAAAATGATGAGATCAAAGCTCAAAAGAAAAAGTTGGTGAGATATTCAGACTAAAGCTCAAAAGAAAATATTGGTGAGGCGAAATCTCAAAGAGTTTTCAGTAGAAAAAGAGTTGGCGAGACCAAAGCTCAAATGAGAAGGAATTGTTGAGACTGAACAGAAAGTGTTGGTGAGACCAAAGCTCAAATGAGAAGGAACTGTTGAGACTGAAGAGAAAGTGTTGGTGAGACCAAAGATCAAATGAAATGGAATTTTTGAGACTGAAGAGAAAATGTTGGTGAGAACAAATCTCAAATGAGAAGGAATTGTCGAGACTGAAGAGAAAGTGTTGGTGAGACCAAAGCTCAAATGAGAAGGAATTGTTGAGACTGAAGAGAAAGTGTTGGTGAGAGCAAAGCCCAAATGAGAAGCAATTGTTGAGACTGAAGAGAAAGTGTTGGTGAGAGCAAAGCTCAAATGAGAAGCAATTGTTGAGACTGAACAGAAAGTGTTGGTGAGATCAAAGCTCAAATGAGAAGCAATTGTTGAGACTGAAGAGAAAGTGTTGGTGAGACCAAAGCTCAAATGAGAAGGAATTGTTGAGGCTGAAGAAAAAGAGTTGGTGAAACCAAAGCTCAAATGAGAAGGTATTTTTGAGACTGAAGAGAAACTGTTGGTGAGACCAAAGCTCAAATGAGAAGTAATTGTTGAGACTGCGGAGGAAAAGTTGGTGAGAGCAAAGCTTAGAAAAGAAGGTGCTGTTGAGACCAAATCTCAAATAAAGGAGGAGTTGTTGAGACCAAATCACAAAAGACTGTTTTACTAGCAACAGAGAGTTATTTAGAACTGAAGGTGAAATGAGAAGGAGTTAGTGAAACAGAAGATCCAAAGAGAAGCAGCTGTTAAGACTAAAACTCAAAAAAACAATTCAATCAAGGAAAAGTTGGTGAGATGAATGTTCTAAAGGAAAGGAGTTGATGGGACCAAAACACAAAACATTTTATTCACTAGAGAAAGAATTGGTGTAATGTAAACTCAATTGACAATTAGAGAGAATATATATCCAAGAAATGTTGGAGACTAAAACTTGCAGAAAAAGCAATAAAATGGTGGAAATGCAATGAAAGAGTAATTATTTTCTATCCATAACCTGGTTATATTGACAGCAAAATTAGGTGTATAGTGTGCCATTGCCTGGAGAACATTGCATATTCCAGAAGAAAGTATTGAAAGAGAGAAAGGAGAAACTATGGCTGAACATATCAAAGACCTTCAGCTGTTGTTGAAGGACATGAATTACTAAGTGCATTTGCACGATTTGTAAATGAAATATCTGGCAGGCAAAACTCAAAGACAGATTTCTTACAAAAGAAAGAAAACATAAATGGTTCTGCCTGCAAATGGCTGTTGGGTTAATGGCATTTGAAGATATTTTAAAAAAAAACATTTCAGGTACAAATGGAAAAGTAAGTAACTACAATAAAATCCTGGGATAATTGCTTCTAAATAAATCCTTTGAAAGGGAAATAAATCTTATGTTTTCTGCTTTATAATAATCTGGAATAGGATTTTTCTTTTTTTATATCATTTATTATCGAACATTACTTCATTGTATCTACATTGTAGCTAAAAAGTCATAAACAAGATACAATACAAGCCAAGGAATTATTTTATATTTAAAATTTATATTTCATTGTTCTTCATTTCTGTCTTTGTACATTATGCTTTCATTGGATCTTTCATTGTCTAATCAGTTGAATGATAGACAGGATACAATAATATTCTGAGTATTATTTTAGATTTAATTGATGATAATCCATAATATTCTGATATTTATTCCTTTCTTCCTTCTTTCCTGTCTTTGTACATTATGCTTTCATTGTATCTTTCAATGTCTAATCAGTTGAATGATAGACAGGATACAATAATATTCTGAGTATTATTTTAGATTTAATTGATGATAATCCATAATATTCTGATATTTATTCCTTTCTTCCTTCATTCCTGTCTTTGTACATTATGCTTTCATTGTATCTTTTAATGTCTAATCAGTTGAATGATAGACAGGATACAATAATATTCTGAGTATTATTTTAGATTTAATTGATGATAATCCATAATATTCTGATATTTATTCCTTTCTTCCTTCATTCCTGTCTTTGTACATTATGCTTTCATTGTATCTTTCAATGTCTAATCAATTGAATGATAGACAGGATACAATAATATTCTGAGTATTATTTTAGATTTAATTGATGATAATCCATAATCCATATTCTGATATTTATTCCTTTCTTCCTTCATTCCTGTCTTTGTACATTATGCTTTCATTGTATCTTTCAATGTCTAATCAATTGAATGATAGACAGGATACAATAATATTCTGAGTATTATTTTAGATTTAATTGATGATAATCCATAATATTCTGATATTTATTCCTTTCTTCCTTCATTCCTGTCTTTGTACATTATGCTTTCATTGTATCTTTCAATGTCTAATCAGTTGAATGATAGACAGGATACAATAATATTCTGAGTATTATTTTAGATTTAATTGATGATAATCCATAATATTCTGATATTTATTCCTTTCTTCCTTCATTCCTGTCTTTGTACATTATGCTTTCATTATATCTTTCAATGTCTAATCAATTGAATGATAGACAGAATACAATAATATTTAGAACATTATTTTAGATTTAATTGATGATAATCCATAATATTCTGATATTTATTCCTTTCTTCCTTCATTCCTGTCTTTGTACATTATGCTTTCATTGTATCTTTCAATGTCTAAACTATTGAATGATAGACAGGGTACAATAATATTCTGAGTATTATTTTAGATTTAATTGATGATAATCCATAATATTCTGATATTTATTCCTTTCTTCCTTCATTCCTGTCTTTGTACATTATGCTTTCATTGTATCTTTCAATGTCTAACGTATTGAATGTTATTTTTTCTCATGAATGTGTTTGCATTTATACACTGGATTATACATATGCTTATGTTTTGCTCCAATATTTGTACTTACTTTTTTTCCCCTTTTAACTAAAGCACAATTTCTCATTAAGATATCACCCTTTGATCTGACTTATTTTCCCACTCAGATTTAAACGATGTCACATTGCAATAAGACTCTATTTTGCCTTTTAAGGAATAAATAACCCATTGAGGTGTTGATATGCCGTAAAACAGACCAAACCAAACCATCTGCATTAGAATTGTGTTTACTTCTTTGCATTATTGTAATAGGGCGAAGGTGACTCTCAGCTTGTTGATGCATATAAAGACACCCAAAGAGGCTTGAGGCAGTTATTCGATTAAGCACTATGTGATGTAATGTCTTATTTTTGAAGGAGAAAACTAAAGGAAAATTTGTTCATTAAAGCTGAAGTGGAGGAAATTGTTGAAAAACATAATTGAAAATGTAATTAGTTAGAGCAAATGAAATTGGCCAGGAATAGGCTTAGGGCTATGTCAAGGTTTGAACCAGTGGATAACTTAATAAAATGTATTAAACTTTAGCCTTAGTTGGTCGATATGAGGAACAGAATCTGGATAATGTCGACGTTATTACTAGAATTTTATTCGGATGACCAATGTCAGGTTTACTTAAATACAATTCATCTCAGAATCCTTGCTCCCTTATGAAAAATCTTGGCTAGAAAATTTTACAAACAAAATTCTTTGCTTTCAACAAATAGGTATCTGGTTTATGAAAAAATGAATGTATTCACAGCCAGTAACTTTCCTGAGTAATTTTTATAAATATCTCATTTTCATGACATCTGTACAATATATTGCTGCAGGAAAAGAGAGTGTGTAGGTTGTTTTTCTTTGCAGTTTTGTGGCTTACTCTCATCAAGGACAGTTTGTAGAAAGAAGCTGTGTGGAAATGTAACCATTACCTTTAGTCAGCCATCCTAGGTATGATGATAAACTACATCTGTATCCTGGGTAAGACGATAAACTACGTTCAACAGTAAGGCCTCTGATAATGTATAAACAGAAAATATATATATCTATATATCTAAATGTGTACTGACATTTTGAGGAGTGTGGAACCATCTCTTAATATGCCGAATAAACCAAACCAAGCTAAACTTGACACATCCCAATGCTGAGCTGTGAGATGGTTGGGAAGCACAGGCAGTGAATCTTTTCTACTTCAAAGATTATGAATAATCAAAATAAAAATTCCCAAAGATATCTTTCAGATTCTGCAGAAGAATTAAGTACCAAATTTCCAAGATTTCTTGTGCTCCTGTCCCCATATGTTGCTGTTCTCATGTCCACTCTGACCTGGGGTGGTAGCATCTGTTAGGGTCCCAGCTATGGGTAAATAGTTGACCCCCCCCCAAAAAAAAACTGGAATCAAAACACTATGAAAGTGAAAAAATAAGTTTTAATACCAGAATACTTTGTAAAAACTTATTGCCAGCAATAAATTTTTGAAGAAAAATTATTACCAGCAATACATTATTATTGAAAAAAAAAATATTACCAGCAATACATTTTTGGAAAAAAATATTACTATCAATAAAAATTTTGTCGGCATTAAATAACCCATTGAGGTTAATATGCCGTAAACCAAACCAAACCTTTAGTCAGATGATGTAGATTTTTTTCATATTGAGTGGGTATCTGCCAATGAAGATGACTGGAAAAAAATCAGCAGCACAAAATCAAAGACTAGATTAAAACAGTCAGGGCATCAATAAGTCTTCCACACAGGAACATCACACATATAGGACAAACATAGTTAAGACAATGGAAACACAAACATAGAGGAACAACCTTTAAATGAAACTGGGTAATTAAATGCAATCTCATTATATGGTCAATACAGTAAACTTTTCAGAAAATGTGCCTGCTTTTATATAGTGTAAAATTTTAGCAGGTGGCTAGCAAAGGAATCATAACTAACATTGCTCATTTCACCATCATGGGGAAACTGGTAGACACTTTTTTTCTTCATAATGTTTGTTGGTTCGCACCGTCTCTTTTTGTGGCAGGGCAGCCATGTGCATTTTCTTCCCGAGGGACAGAACGCTAAATGTTGTCTCTTTGACCATCAGGGGCAGGTACAATTATTGGTAATGGTTGGCTGCTCTATCTGCATTTCATTGCTACTACAATTGATCAAGTCCAGGATATGCACAATTCACAGGTTATTGCAGGGGCATTTGTAACAAATACATGTATCCATTTCCTGTTATGAAGATATTAACAAATTTTGCAGCAACACAATTTTTCATGATGAATTATAATTACTAGAACTGCTATAATTTTATTTGCTTCAATATTACTAATCTTGCAATGAATCTATTAACCCAAATGTAGTTACCACAGATAAAACTGTTGTTGGAAATTTAATGTTAATTCCAGCAGTTTTGTTGTGTCCAAAAGAAAATACTGAGAACCTGTTACTTCTATCTGGTATCGCTGACAAAACTAACCTGGCTATTAGTCTTGAAAAGGACCTCCAATCAGTTGTGGACTGGGGCAGGAATTGGCTGGTTAACTTTGATACCTCAAAAATAAAACTGCTCTCTATTACTCACCACAGGGAACCATCCCTGACACCGATTAGAATTTCGGATGCTCAACTCCATGAGAGCACCTCTTTGCGGCTGCTTGGTCTCACATTGTCCACTGACCTGAGATTGAACAAATACATTGAATCAGTAGCTTCATCCACCATAAGGAAATTTGGTTCCCTGTGTCATGCCAAAAAGTTTTTCTTGCCTGAGTCCATCCTTCACATTTGACCTTGCATGGAATACTGCTGCCATATATGGTCTGGGGCTCCTGCTGTTTGTCTTGAGGTCCTTGATGGATATGCAATGTGATTGGCCCTGATCTAACATCTCAGTTGCTCTCTCTCACAGATGTGCCATTGCCTCCCTCTGTCTTTTCTACAAATACTTTCACAGTAACTGCTCTATTGAGTTATTTTTGCTAGTTCCCAGACTGCATGAATTTAAACATGCAACTAGGCTTGCATGTCAGTCCCACCCTTTCACTGTCGAAACAGTTAAATGTAGCCATCTTTTCTACTTATTAATAGCTTCATGTCTCACACTTCCTGTCTGTAGAATTCCCTTCCTATTACTTGTTTTCCTAATAGCTATAATCTACAACTATTCAAATGTAATGTCAATTGACATCTTCAGATGCCTTGATCTATTCACCGTCTTTCTCTTCATCCTTTCCTCTGTCACGCCTCTTTACTTTTGCACCCACTCTCTGTAACCTCTTGCATTCTAGTGGCACTCCCACCTTGCTTGGGGTGAAATGCT